GCAGTCTGTGAGAGGACAAGTGTAGAAACTGCTTTCGGTGGGGCTGTGGGTTAAGCAGAGCAGAGATAAACCAAAGGAATGCCAGGAGCCGGGGGCTCCCCGCTGGAGCGTGCATGATGGCTTTACATAAGCAAACCCAGAGGATGCCCAAAGCATTGGGTGTGAGGGGTTTGTCCTCAGGGGACTGCTGTCACAGCTGTCACAGCTCTGCAGCTCAGACCTGGGCACTGCCACTCACAGCACGGCCCCCTGAATATCAGCTAGCCCAGAGGCTGTGAGGGGAGGAATATCAGGAGATGGTGAAGATTTCCAAAAGAGGCTCTTACCCCAGATATGTTGGTTCAGCTCTCTTTATTCTGTGGTGTCCAAGGGGAGAGTGGGGAAAAAGAGGATGAACAGGAAATGTCAGGGGTCTGTACAGACTTTGGACAGGGTGGGCTTCCCTGGCTCTTCGCCAACCCTGTTGGGGCAGGAAGGAGGGTCTAGGGTTATCCCAGAATCACAGGGTCTTGGGGAAGGGGGAATAGAGTGCCCATGAGCTCACTGTAACAGCCCTCCACGTGTCAACGTGGCAAACTGAGCTTGGCAACCTCCTGGAAGCCTTGGTCCAGCCCTTCAGCTCGTCCTGCATCTCTCTGGAGCCTCCTGGGAGGCAGCTGGGAGTGCAGCACTCCGGGATGCACAGTGTGCTCTGTGCTGCCAGCATCTCCTTGGTGTGTGGTGAAACCTCCTCAAGCTGCACCTGGGGTTGTTTAGATTAGATATCAGGAAAAGCTTCCTCGCTGGGAGGGTGGTCTGGCATGGGAAGAGGCTGCCCAAGGAAGTGTGGAATTACCATCCCTGGAAATGTTCAGAAATCGTGTGGGGGTGGCACTCATGGTTTGGGGATGAACACAGCTAATGGTTTGACTCAATGAACCCCTGGGTTTTTTATTCTGCTGTGATTCCGTGTTTGATTTTTTTCATTCTTATTCTGCTGTGATTCTGTGTTTGTAGCACGGAGGTGCCTTTTGCTGTGGTGGAGCAGCTGAGGGGTTAACTGGAGCCTGTGGCTGCAGCCTGGTGGCTCTGGATGTGTCCTTAGATGAGGTCACACGGATTTCTTGGGGCAGCTCTGTTCCCCTTTGTGTGAGGCAGCAGAGGGTCACCCAGCTGTGCAGCCCTCCTGCCAGTGTCCCCACCATCCCCTCGTCTCCCTGGGGACAAACCCTGCCTGACACGTGTCCCCTTGTCACACATGGCCCTTCTCCTCACCAGGGCAAAGCTGCAGAGGGTGCAGTTTTGTGGAGTTTTTGTTTCTTCTTTTGTTAAATGTGTGAGATAGTATTTTTTGTTCAGACTCAAATGTTTATTAGGTTTTGTCTGTATTGCATTCCTATAAACTGTGAGTTCTACAGTACTTTAATGTGCTAAAAATGGAGCCCTATCTCTCTTTCTACAAGGTTTTTTAATGATCAACTGTCTAATTAACAAATTACACTTAAATTATTTTTTACTTTGAACTTAATAACTAACTACTTGTGGCTCACAATGTGGACTTTTGTATCCAATTACATGCTACCCAAAATTATGAAGAAGAAGGTGAAGAAGAGGGACCAGCCTCTGCCCTAAAACTTCTATTTTGTTATATATATATTATATATATATATATCATTTACCTTTTAGTGCTGTGTGAGCACTGCTTCAGAAGCACACGCCTGCACCTTTAAAGTGAATCCATTACAATTTGTGTGAGTGCTTCAGGTCTGAATGAGAGCAGCTACCTGGAGGTTTTGTGCATTTCAAGTTCAAGTGCATTAAGCACAGTTTGGGTTCACTTCCCTGAGTGCCTCCTGGTGATCTGCCCTGCAAGGAACGGTGCTTTTTGTCCTTCCCAGCCACCTGGGTCTTGATGGGTTAAAGTCTGGAGGCTCAAATGAGCGCTGCCCCCATCCCTTCTTCCTTTCCATTCATCTTTTTCCTTTCTCCATCCTTCCCCGGGGTTTTGCCCTTCCTCTCCAGCCTCAGGAGCTTGGCCATGGGGGTGCTTGGTGGAGCAGTGCAGTGGGGTTTGTGCTCCACGTGTCCTTGCTTTGTGTTTAGTACCTTTGAGATCTGAGGCAGGAAACGTGGTTTGAGCCTGTCAATGGGAAAACATTGCTCATTGTCCCCTGCAGTGCCTTGGGTTCTGCAGGGCTCTGCTGGCAAATCGTGAATGAGCATGTTATAAATGAAAATTTGTCCAGCCGAATTAATATGAAAAAATGAAATATTTATTTTGCAATCCAATTCTATCTAGGCAGCCACAAGGAAAGAACAGAGCTGAGCCCGGGGTCGGCCCTGGGTGTGCAACAAGGAGTCAGCCTCAGCAGAGGTTTTCCTCTGTGCCCACACACCTCCATCCTGGCACAAGTGGTTTTTATAGGGAAAATTCTGCCTGAGGCTAAGATTTCAGCAGTCAGTCTTTTTTTTCTATTCAGAGTCTATATGTTGATAAGATTTTCTTTTTATGGTGATAAGGGAGAACAATTCAGTGTCTGGAGTTGTTGAATCCCTTGATGAAGTTTACGGGAACGCTGCATTCCCATGGATCTGCCTGAGGGTTTCCATGAGATCCATCCCTGGTCATTCACTCGATGATCAGCACCTGGGCTCCCCATATCTCCCCAGCCATGGCCCATCCCCATCTCCTGGCCAGCTACATCCTTTTACTTGTAAATTGGGTTCTAATATACACCAGGTCTCACTTGCGAGGGTGGGGGGACCCCTAATACAAACTTCTGTACTCCAACAAATATTCAATATGACATATATCATACTAGAAATGGTGTGAATTATATCTACTACACATAACAAGTGGGATTTGGGAAGGAATCTGAACTCCTCTGCACAGGGAGTAACAGGCTGGGGGAGAGACACATTGGAGAGAACCTTCCCGAAGGACTGGGCTGTGCTGGGGCTGCCTCCCACCGTCTCCCTGGGGATGCTGCCTGGGGGCTGGGCTGTCCCCACCCCTGGGTGCTGGCTGTGTTCCTCCCTCTGCTTTGGGGATGCTGATGCTGCATGTGCTGCTGAACGGGACAAGTCCTCAATGCTGGAAAGTGATATAATGTCAGGCCAGGCTGTGCAAAGGTTTCAGCTGTGCCTGGAGTCTTCCCGTGGAGGTTTATTCATCCAGCTGGGCAATAACCTGTCCTTCTGCCCATGGCATGAGAGCAGTGCCAGGCTGTGTCACAGCTGTCACACTTGGGTTTTTCCATGTGAACTTGTGAGCTTTCTGGGGCAAAAACTGTCCCTTGGACCATGCAGATCACACAAGGGTCCTGTCAGCACATCTGGCCTGTGGAACAGCTGTGCCTTCCTTCCCAGCATTGCCTTGGCATGGGGGTTGAGTGATTTCTTTGCCAGCTCTGGGGATGGAGGTTGTGCCCTTGCATCTGGCTGGGTGATCAAAGGCAATATAGGTTGGATATTAGGAAAAAGGTTTTTCACAGAAAGGTGATAAAGTTCTGGAATGGCTGCTGGGGAGGTGGTGGAGTCCCCATCCCTGGGTGTGTTTAAACCAGCCTGGATGTGGCACTGGGTGCCAGGGTTGAGTTGAGGTGTTGGGGCTGGGTTGGTCTCTTCCAAGCCGTGAATTCTGTGCTGTTCACCAGGAATCAGCGTGGGATGGCTCGGGAGGGCGGTGCAGGCTGCTGGGCCGGTGGGCAGCCCCCTCTGGAGCTGCTAACGCCGTGTCCCCGCTGCCTGCCCGGCGGCCAAGTGGAAGTTTCCGTGAGGACCAGCCCATCTGTGAGCCGCACATCCCTCCATCCCTCCGGGCACCGAGCTCTGCCCGGGCCCCTCCGGCAGCAAAATCCGCTCTCAAATCCCACCTCAACTCCACCGCCACACCGGGGAGAGGAGCGAGAAGCAGGAGAGACTTTCACTCCCGCTTCTGGCAGGCTGGGAAAGAAATCCTGCTGGGAAATCCTTGCCGTGGGGAGGAGGGGGAAGCGCTGCCAGGGCCGGCGGGGAAGACCCGAGGGATGCGCAGGGTCCCGCCTGGTAGCAGCAGCAGCAGCAGCAGCCCCGTGATGCTGAGCTGGGAATGAAGTCAGCCTTCATCAGCCGAATAGTTTATGCATGAATCGAAACTTCAGAGCTGGCAAAAA